AATTCCCCCGTATTCAAAAATACAACAAAGTATTGCAGTAAAAACCGCGTTTACAGCAAGATTTTCTCCTTTTTTCTTTTTTATATTTACAACAAAATTAATAAGATTTGCGACCTAAGGAACCTTTGACGTAGAGAAGTGAAATAAAACATCACAATGTATTAATAAATTGGACTTACGATGATACCAAACATTTTATATAAACCACCCACGCACACATAATATCATAAAACTTGTTTAAAGTTTTAACAACCTTTAAATAAAGTACCAAATCACTTCTGTTTACTGGATTCAACACTTTCTGTATGATTGTCATTTACTTTTCTTATAAGCGCAGTAATAATTTACTAAATCCTGTCTGCTAATGAATTGATATCCACGATATAGCCTAGCCTAGTGTAAATTGCACTGTGAAGTGTTTTACGGAATCAAAATAAAATAAATAAATTTAAAACTGTTAAAAAATAATTCTGTTGCAGTAATATACACATACTCGTATTTTTATAAAATTTAATATCACACTTAACTATCAGTATTTAAATTTAAGAAATACACTACAATAACTGATATTTTCTACAATTCTAAACTATGTTCAGAAAGGCAAAACATTTTGTTTCATCTCTTACTTTTTCATCGCTGAAACATTCGAAAGATTTTAGTTAATAATATTTAAAACTGTTAAAAAATAATTCTGTTGCAGTAATATACACATACTCGTATTTTTATAAAATTTAATATCACACTTAACTATCAGTATTTAAATTTAAAAAAAACACTACAATAACTGATATTTTCTACAATTCTAAACTATGTTCAGAAAGGCAAAATATTTTGTTTCATCTCTTACTTTTTCATCGCTGAAACATTCTAATGATTTTAGTTACATTGGTTTGGAGGTAGCCAGTTTATACTAGTATTTTTGTGAAGCAAAATCCGATATTCGGTAGCTGATGGTACCATTTTATGTTGAACCCACGTTTAAACAATTATTCAATAAAATTAAGTATTAGTTTATCCTACGTCTGACTTAAATATTGTCAATATTACATTGAAGTTCCATTGATTTTAAAGTAATTTATTTAAAAAAATCTACATTCTAAAATTGTAAACGACTGACGTTTTTTGTACACTATATATAGCACAAAGTGTAAGTGAATACTCCCATTATTTTCCAAACCCCGAATAAGTGTATCTTACTTCTAGATTGTAGAAGTTATTCATAAAATATTTATTTATGTATTGAATACAATAGCGTCTGATACCCTGGCTTAAAAAGGGTCTTGGAAAAAGGGTTCCAAATGGTTCGTAAACAACAATAGAAGTCTCTAGATCTAAGAATGAGACTGGCTCCCAAGCTTATTCGTTATATTTAAATTAATATTAATACAGTGTAAACTTGTGCTTATAAAAATAAGTTACAAAGAATCTTAATTTTAATTATATATTTGTACAATTCTGAACTGTTATTAACTGAGAAACATTATGAAAGCAAGTCGATGAAAATTGTGTATAAATGTTTTAAATTATTAACTTATAATTTCTATCAATATATTAAAAGTTCACAGAATTAATATAAAGGCCGTATATAATTAATATCAATATGTATAAACCTTGATAATAATTAATATCAATTTATTAAAAGTTCACATAAATTTTATATTGAAGCTGATATTCATTAAAGCTCCATTTAGCGGAGCGTATGGTGAAGAAATCGAATGTTATGGACAATTTACATCGTTATCGGATTCTATCAACTCATCCGAAATATTAATTCCAAATACATATATATACATATCTATATTTGCAAATAGAACCTTTTTGGAAATAAATAATATTTAGCCTATATATATGTAGTTGCGGTCAATATATAACCACTTGCATTCCGCCCGCCGCTTCGCCCGCGTGGAGTTCGGTTATATCGCGTTAACAAGAGAACCTTTCAAAGGTCTGGGATAAAAACTATCCTATGTTCAAGGTCAACTCCATCTCTGTACTAAATTTCATTAAAATCAGTTCAGTGTTTTAGGCGTGAAAGCTTAACAGACAGACAGACAGAGTTACTTTCTCATTTATAATATTAGTAGGAATATATATATATAACATATAACCTTTTCACATCGTACTTACAAATTGTGTTAGTTAATAAGAATCAATTTACAATAAGTATCTTTGTACTAGTAAATAAGTAACTAATTTCAATTAACAATTAAAACAAATAACAATTTGTTAGTTTGAAATTATTAATTACTTAATGAAATAAAATCAGGCCAGTTCAATTTCAAAGAACAGGCATTAATTTAAATATATTTTCATTCTAAGTGTAGAACAATAAAAAATAAAACTAGAAACAACTCTTAACAATAAATTGAACTCGTAAATTGCAAATTCAATTAAGCGGCAAATTTCTTCTAAATCTTGACAAAAACACTCACTGGAATGGAAAACCTTGTTAAGTTTTAAATTGTACAACGTTGTAAACAAGACTATTTTTTAAGTTAGACTTTCTAAGATTTTTACGGAATATAACAATAAATTAATATACATTTATTTTTTAATTCATTTACGTTTATTGAAATACTTCGTCTGACCATAAGTATTGTTACAAATGAAACCAATTTTTTGTTAATAATAATACCTAACGTTTATTACTTTTGTCATAAGTTAGTTTAAGACATTAATATGAAATCATTGTAAATATATAAAGCTTATTCTTAGTGGTCTTAATCAGTTGCAATAAAGTTCCTTAAACTTGAGGTATCAACAACAGTACGAACTCTTTCTATGGAAAAATTTGTCCCCGCAATAGTAGAAATTGTTTTGGAGATTCCAAGTTATCATTGTTATTAGACCAAGCCGTATTTAAAACTGAGCATTAATGAAAATTCATTTGATTAAAATCAAGACTAAATTAGGTCCAGACTTCAGATCTGCGTATCTGATAATTCGCTTGTAATGAAGAATAAAATAATATTTCGCTTAATCTTTAAAGGGTAGCATATTAAACTTTGGCCTTAGTTATAAATAGACCTCACAAAAATGTCTGTCAGTTATAAATATCTGAATCACCATAAATCATTGAAGTGTAGTGCGTAGTAAGAGTATTTATAAATCTTGTTGTGTGATCATACTCGTTGTCTTATTATAAGAAAAACTCAAGGTGTTCTATTATTAGAACTTCATAAACTTTCATATCCATAAACTTCATAGACTATTTTTAATATCAAGTCATCAGGAACAAACTTTAGTTGAATATAAGTTTTTTCTGGATTGTTCTTAAGTAACTATTGAAATTCTTATTTCAAACACGATTATTATTGACATTATTTGTCTAGAGGGCAATGAACCGTATTTCAATAGTGGTTGTAAATTATACCATTTCAATATCAATGACGTCCACTCCATTATCTCAGGTTATACCTGTCGCGGTCAATTTTGCCAGTACAATTTATTTTATCGCAAGGGCTGTCACACCCGTGTTAACTCAAAAACATTAATATCATTGAAATTGGAATAGTATCGTCTGCAGAAAGAGGATTTTTAGACATAAAACTTTAAAATATTTGATAATAGCTTTTTATATTGTATAGAAAAGGAGGATTTTCTTTATATCTGATAATGTTTTAGAAAAATACTATCATGAATATTTATGATCTAAATCGATGTTATGACATTTTATCTAATTGGGATTAACGATTTGTAACAACGATAATAAATAAATAAGTATTACTGCTAAATAAAACAAGTAATATTTATTAAAAAGAATCTAAGTTATACAATATTTTATATCATTTCATATTTAATAATCTTGAAAAACAATAGAGTAGAGAATTTGTTTGTTTGTTTCAATTTTGTGAAATAAATCTCGGCTCCAACCTAATATTATAACATACATTACTATCTAGAAAAGTTGTTTTCGAGTGAACTGTTGTTTTGAACAAACCATTTTGACATATTGTATTTCCTGTTTTGTAAATTAATAGCAGTTTTTATCTCTTGAATAAATATAAAAACTATGAAAGATTACGACAGTGTCAGATTTTCCATTCTACTTCCCGTTTTGTTAATGGTCAATAAAAATGTCTGTACTTGAATTACTTTACGGTCTCTGAAAGAGTAAAATTTTTAATGATATAAAACAACATATCAATTATATAAAAGAACAACATCAACTGTATAAATAGATTATATTTTAATGAAAAAAAATATTCTTAAATAAGAAAAGTACTATGAATAAAATGGAAAATCATTAAATTCACCGCTTCAGAATACGTAACTTCAGACTCCAATAAATTCCATATTCGTCCCTAAGAGTATCTTTCGAATAGGATAAAAACTTTTCTCTCTGGGGTTAACTCTTATACGTTCAATCGCATTAAGTTATGAAAAATTTCTAGACCGGGAATATGATTGGATTTTACGTTTAATTTTCAAAATTAGGCTTTCAAAACAAGTTCAGCCATGTATGCTGATGACGAAAACTTCTCAGCATTCTAAGGATTCACCGTGCGGGTGCTGAGTCCATCACGTTGCATATTGCAACAATGCCTGGGACTTTCGAAGAAGGTGTAGGTTTAAGGCGCCCCTATTTAAAGCGCGTTAAACGCTCAAATCCACCTTTAAGCTCCTTTCCTACCTTATCTTAGTTGAAACGAACCTACTAGAGCTGCATACAAAGAACATTCAAAAAATATTAAAGGAAAAGATACGTATATAGATATTTATTTACTTTAGTACTCTGAGTCATAAGAAACAAATATTTTTATCAAGTTCAGATGCCTGATAAATAAAACTTCACATCTTAAACGTAGTTTACATTTAAGTATATTTCACGATCCTAACAAACATATAAATCATAACAAAACATAAAGAATATAGTCATATAAAGTTCACATTTTACAATATCAATATTTCTATTTAAATGTAACATTTACATTGTTCTATTTAACATTTAATCTGCCATTTAGTAACTTTTTATAAAAATTATTTATTTTCCTTAAAAGTCAATTGATGGGTAATTTTTCATGAAGCCAATTTCGCTTTCCTTCATTGAACTCTGCGGCTGTATGGTCTGTGCCTTCGAGAATCCATTTTGTGGTTAGCAAGCCCTCAACACCAACTGGACCTATATATAAAAAAAAACATAACTCACATTAACATTCAAATACTCATATGAATACATAAATAACATAAATGATACAACACAATACCTCTTGCATGTATTCTTGCTGTAGAAATGCCAACTTCAGCACCAAGACCAAATCTAAATCCATCAGCAAATCGTGATGAAACATTATGGAAAACGCAGGCACTGTCAACTGAATTAAGGAAATCCCTAGCTGTGTGATCTGAAAAAATATTACTAGTTAGATGCACGTATATACACAGAAGTACACAGATAACATTACATTTTTTTTCCACTTCAAATTAATAATACGTGTAACACCTACCATTCTCCGTAATAATGACGTCAGTGTGAGAGCTTCCAAATTTATGAATGTGATCAATTGCTTCATCCAAGTCCTTGACGACTTCTATAGAGCATTCTAAATCACCATACTCATATTTCATTGTTCTAGCAGGAGGTGGTCCGAAGGTTAATTGACTAGCAAGCTTTGGACCAGCATGTATTTTTACACCTTCCTGTTTTAACATATTACATATATCCTGGAACAGTGTACCTGACAAATGATCTTCATGGATAAGCAAAGTCTCCATAGCATTACAAGCTGCAGGATAATCACATTTAGCGTCACGGACTATCTTCAACGCCTTGCTTGGATCGGCATCTTTGTCTAAATAAACATGACAAATGCCTTCTGCGTGACCCAATACAGGAATATGTTGTGACTGCTTTTGAATATTTCTAACTAGTTCAGAAGAACCGCGAGGAATAATCAAATCTATATGCTTTTCCATTGCTAACAGATCACTTATTTCGTCTCTAGTTGAGACCAATGAAACGGCATCAGAAGCGCCAAACGGCTGTAGAGACTCTTTAACGATTTCCATTAATGCTCTATTTGAGTAAGCAGCCTCTTTCCCACCTTTTAGTAAAAGTCCGTTACCCGACGCCATTGCTAATGCCGCAACTTGAGGCAGTGAATCAGGTCTTGATTCGAATATAACAAGTAAGACTCCAATGGGTACTGTTACTTGTTTTAATAATAAATTTTCAGCAAGTTTAGTCTTTCGTAATACCCTGCCGACATTATCATAGCTTGAGTCTGCAATTTGTTTTAAACCGATGGATAAGGTCTTCAATTTTCCCGGACTAAGTGATAACCTGTTTAAAAGTGGTTTCTCGAGCCCAGTTTTTGTAGCTTCCTCCAAGTCTTTCGCATTCGCTTCCAATATTTTGTCTTGTTTATCTAATAACAAATCTGCTAATGAATGAATAGCCGCCGCTCTTTCAGCTGGAGATAATTTTTGCAAAGTCCTGCTTCCTGTGCGAGCTGTTAAATTAAATATAAAATTATAAATTTTCTTATTAACTATTACACTAGTTCTATTTAAGTTTATTTACCATTTTCAGCCATTACGTCAACTGACGCAGTTGACACACTTGGAGAATCAGTGAAGAACGTTCCAACTTTACGTCCACTTATGATTGTTTTGATAGCCTTTTCCTGCATGCCGTTACAAATAACGACACTCACTCCTCTTGCCATGGCCCAAGTAGCAGCGTTCACCTTTGAATCCATACCTCCTGTGCCCACCTAACAAAAAACCACAGATATATGTACATATATCATATTTTATATAGATTTTTTTTCTATTTTTGTATAAAATATTCTATAACTGTCCTAATGAGTCTTACTTTCGACTTTTGTCCAAACTGTACTTTTTCAGCTGATGTATAAGTATGCATCATTCGAGCACCATCTTCCCAGGGTGGTTTGTTATAAATACCATCAACATCTGACATCATAATAAGAAGATCCGATTGGACTTCAGCGGCCAATAAGGCAGAAAGACTATCGTTGTCTTTTATTCCAATTCCCTTAAAAAAAATTTTGAGTTCTGTTAAGTATAATACTTACAAACACTTGGTACAAAAAAAATTACTTGAAACTTAAACAACTACATAGTGTATATGCAAATTTATTTTATACTTTAAACGAAATTATCTGACAGCGCATAAAAGCATACAGTCATAATAATAAAATTTGATCTGCCATGAAACTATTAAACTACATAGTAGGTACTTAAGATCTTGCTTTATATTTTAATTAACGTTACGGTAACATTATATTTTTATGTTGGAATTTATAAAAAAACATTATTTTTTATCAAAAAATATTTTCGCACAACTGTAAAGGCAAATTTTAATCATATGAATAAATAAAAATGATCCAAGAGTATAGTTAGATACAATTTTCACAAAGCGTAAGAGCTATTTTATATTTTCATTGTGAATACCTTTTTTCCAGTCCCAGGGACAACAGTATCATCATGAATATACATCGGCGGACTAACGGCGTCATTGGTATTCACAATGGGTACTATATTTAGAGATATCAACTCTGAGAGTGTGGTAAACAAGTTTTTTCTCGTTTCCTCGTTGTAGAAATCGGGTTTTGTCACAAGCACCTGGAATTTGTGACAATTTTAGATTTATATTTCATCCAGTATAATAATACACAATTTAAAGTGTATAAACAAAAATAATGATTCTTAAAATATACACTGTATTTTTATCTATGTCAGACGTAACCAATTAAATAATTATTTTTATGTAACTCTTAATTCAGATTTCCGTTCTTAACACTTTATCTCTTCTAGACTACATTAAAGCGTCTTTTTATGAAAATATATTTCACTATAGTAATACAATTTAAATTTTCATCAATAGTGTTACTATATGAAAGTATTTAAAATAAATTCTTTTACTTTAATACGTTTATATAAAAGAGGTTTTATATTAATATCATCGGTATTAAAAAGTCTGTAAAAAAATTTATGGAGCCTTTACCCAAGGTGTTTGAAAAACACGAAGATAAATTGCTTTTGGAAAACCTTACCAACTTTTAACAACTTTTTTTACTTGGTAAAGTGAAATTGCTTACATTTTGTTACACATTTATTTCATTCCGTCACGTCTAAGAAATGTTTATTAAAGAAACGGGAGCCCCAGAAACAATGTTTCACTTAGCGAGTGATATTAAAATAGTTTCCATCGCAAACTGTATAATTTACGAGGATGCGGTGGCAGCTGATAACATTGCAAGAATCCAAGATGCCAGAATAACAAACGGTCGGAAGTTTTTACAAATAAACTAAGAATTCTAAACATTGTCTTCATTAAAATTTAACTATAAAAATTTTCAATATCATGAGTAAGTAAGACATTCTCTTAATTTTACAATTCGTATCACTTTTACGCATTCTTTAACTTATTAAACTGATCTTTCCTAGGTTTCTAAAAACAAACTTTAAACATACGAATTTAATCTGTTTAATACCTGAGCAATTTTCACGTTATATTGTGAAAACATAACATCATACATAGACATCAACTCCGACTGACCAACTGCCGCGGCCGCCCGAGGGTCCAAAATACTGCCCGCGTCCTGTAATAACAAGTCATAAAATATAACAACAACATATAATTTAACATAACATCGAAGAATTTACGGCCAGACCAATTTTGTTCATACCAATTAGGAATTTCAATAAAGTTACCAAGGACAGGGACGGAATTTAATTTATCTCTTTAAGCTGGTTTTTATAAAGACCACTTATTTTGTGATTAGGTATTTAAGGTCTACATTGCTGGTTTTAATAAAAATAGAGGGTAATTTATCTGGTAGTATTCAAGACATCTTCATTATTAATACATCAAGATGATTTAAACACTTTTTTAAAAGGTTAGACCATTTTATTAACTTTTGTATGTCATATATTTTATTTATATAATTGAACATTCACCTCTCTGGTGTGGTCGCTGGGTGAAAGAGTTTCCCTCATGGATAGAGACATGAGCAACTCCTGAGTCAACTTCTGCCTTCCGAATGCCACGGCACCACTTGTTACCATAATACATTCTCTTCCTTCGTGGTGACATTCTGCTACCTATAAAAGGAGTTAATTTTAAACTGTACGTATCGAAAAATATGTAATACAATAGTTAAGTGATATATGAAAAATATCATGATTAATTTTTACCAGAAACAAAAGCATGTTTTCTCAATTACACTAATTTGAAAACTGAATTAAAAACAAAATAACTTTCCTACAATGAAAGTAAGCTGAAGGAAATAGGCATTTATGAGAGCACTGTTGTTTAGCCTTAAATGCTAATCACCAAACCAAAAGAACAGTCTGTAGATATATTTCCGTACCTGTTCAACAATAGATGCTAATCTTCCTAGGGCGAGTCCATTGCCGTCCTCCCTCGTGATCACAGCACTTCCCAGTTTGACCACCAATCTTCTGGCGTACTTCAATTGCGACCTATCAGAAAATGTTTGTTTCTTCCTATCCAAGCTAGCTATATTGCGCTTATCTACATTGTGGCCCTGGAAAAGAATACCGTTGAAAAATTTAATTAAGTAATAGTTACGTCTTTACTCGCTTGAAATAAAAAAAATGCAAGTATATTCCAACCTTTTAATTAAAGTTTTATTCTAGAAACGGTTGTCTGTATCCTACGTAAATTTTAGAAGAAAACTTTATATTATGAAAAAAATACAATTAATTTAGTAAACTAAAAAAGAAGCACAAAACCAAGAATTTAATTGTAACATTTACAGTTTTATAACTATATTGCATTATTTCTTCCAAAATAATCCTTCATACTGTGGTCGTGTATTGTTAAGTAAATAAAGAAGAGAAAATATGTAAAACATTAATATTAAAAATATATCAATGAAGATTAATATTAAATATTAACATATCTAAAGCGAAAGGGTAACTTAAATATTTATCTAACAATAAATGAATTTTATGCGATAATTTATTGCAATATAATTTTCCATTAAATTTACCTTTTACTAAACCAGTTTTCAATGTAACCGCTATTTAAATAATTATTTTATTAGCTAGAAAGCTGTCACCAAATACATGCCAAATACAAATTAAATATTACTATTTCGTATGAAGTAGATCTCATTTAAATATAATTTTCATTTACAAACCAGTAAAATTCTTATAAAAAACACTAAACATTATCTCGAAAGAGAATAAAATTTACAAATAAGGTAGATAATATTTTCAATGACGTTGTGTCATTTTCATTTATTGTGTTGCCTTCACATCCTGGATTCGTAAATGTACATTTCGTAACAATTTTATACGTCGGTTCTTATGATTACCTAATACGACGCCTCATTTCCTATCGTACACTTTTTACTGGGCACCTTTTATAAAAATACCGCCATTTCTCTTTATGGATCTGTAAAAAAAGAGACTCGACATTTCACTTCGAACACGTGTTTACTAGCACCCGTCAAAACGGAGACAGGTTGGAAAAACGTTTCGAGGGATTATATATTTTTTATTGCAGGAAATTCATAAAATACCGCTACCATTATTCGCATTATCTTTCACTAGAGAACGTTATTAAGCAAAACATATAATATACCATTTTAAAAGCGGCTTTCCTCGCGTCTGTGAAAATAGATTGTCTTCATTTTAAAGGATACAAATTAACCTGTATATTTAACACAGAAATAGATTTTACTTATAAGATTTCACTGACTTAACATTAAATTGGAATAAGAATTGGAATAATATACATATATTTATGTCTGATGTATGATTTAACTAAATAAATTTCAATATAACACTCTGAATAAAACCGGTCCATACTAGACGTATTTTATTTTATAGTAATATTCTTTCCACGTAATAATAAACTAAACGTTTACTAAAACTTTATGAAAACAAAACATATATTTCTTTGATTTTATCTCGCAAGCGAACAAAGGAGGACTATATAAAATCAAGACACGGCAAGCGTTACAAACATTCTACAAGGAAAACATCCTCTAAATTTCACAATAAAGATTTTATTATATGACATACTCGTGAAGATTATGTTTGACAATACATTTATAAACAGACAAAATTCTTCTTTATGTGAAAATATTATTAGTGGCGTTTTAAACAAATGACATAGTGTTAATGTAGTCTGTCGGTACTGTGTACATTATTTTGATAAACTATGCAAATACATGTATAATTTTTCACTACTTTTCCTTCCACAAATTCAAAAGATTTTCTAAACATTAAATTTACGTTAGAAATGTCTACAGATACACGTAGATATACATATGCTATTATTAAAATAAACATTATGATCCAGAAAACTGTTTGTCTTCTCTTTAGATACCCTTAATAAAGTACATTTTATATTGAACTGTATTTTATACTTTTTATGTATATGTATTAAGTAAGTAAAACCTACCAGCTTCTATTTTATATTAAATTAATCTGCCAATAAATAATAAGTCAGTATTGTAAAGTTTACCAGTAAAATTTACTTGTATTATAAAATTTGTAAGCCAGAACTATTAAAATGGATTTATTATTTAGAGGGAAAATTTATACGGTATAAACAATCTCATATTGCAAATGTCACAACAGACTTGTTTTCATTTAGACACAAACATCGCTTACGATGGGTTACAAGTTATAACATTCCATTTATGGTCTCATTCATAACAGAAATAAAAGTGTTTTTATCTAACTCTATACAAATATTCCTACACAGAGTAATGAAATGTCGTCGTCACAAGATATTGAAAGCTTTTTTATAGACGTATCATAATATCCAAACAAAATTCTACCTAACGAATACCGATAAGAGCCCTAACAAATAAAAATGATCTAAGAGGGTAAAACGTCTGCTTTGATAAGCAATCAGAAGAAGTTTTCAAGAAGTGGAACTCGTAGTTTCAAAGAACATTCCTAGATATAAAGACAGAATAAAAGATCTCAAACTTTATACATGTTGCACTAAAACAGTATAGGAAAATATTGAAGTCAAGAGCTGATTTGGGAAAGTTCTATAACTTTGTCACTTGTAGAAGTTTTGTCGCCATGACTAAGTTTTAACGGCTGTAATGTGGTTAAACTTCTTAAGTCTTAACACATACTCAACAGAATATACGATAGTCGTTTCGGAGACATATTTCAGAGCAAGTTTCTAACATTTTTATAGGGACATAGGACAAACTATATGAAACATTTCCGAAGAATTTCTTGTACTTAATGTTTAACTTTATAGTATCTAACTAAATTTACTGTACCCATTTTAAAGGACAGATATTGTATGATATGAATTTTATTAAGGGAGGGATTTAGGAAAGGGAGTTTTATTTTTATAATTCATGGTGAATCACTTTTGTTCCACTTTTTTAATTTCTTCATAAGTTTCTAGTCCACTTACATGTAACGAACAGCCAGCGACATCTATTCGTAGTATTTAGAAATATCCTATATAAATAAGCCTTTCCAGTTTATACTTTACTTAACTGAGCTTGTTATATTCAAGAATATAGTGTTATTATTTCCTTTTCTTCTTTAAAAGGAATGGAAAATTGGTTGAACTATATTCACTTCACTAACAATTTCTCAGTAATCTTATTAAGTCCTTAAAATATCCCTTCTTAGTTTCGATATTATTATATTTTAAATATCACATTTTTCGTTTAATCCTTTCCTGACCTGGATCATTCAAAAGAATTATTAAAATTGTTTTAAGAATAAGGAACCCTCCTTGTTTTATACATAATTAAATTTATCTTCCTTACTTCTAATGAATTCTAATATTTGAATAATTTTAAATATTTGTTATTCTCAAAGCTTTTTAGCAAAAATTTACTGCCTCCTAATGAATTTTTTTCCTTATTTATAATTTTATTTCCGACGTGACAAATTTTAATCTTATTTTAACAAAATTCTTCATTATCCAAGCCTTTATGACTTTTATATATTTCTTTACAGTTTAACTTATATCTATATAAATTTGGATACATTTATTGAAAGTACAGAAACCGGGATAGCATTAGGTATGTCCAAATCTACTAAAGATTATTAACCAAGGACAATACTTTTGATTCCATTTCATTGCACTAGTTACTATGAAACGTTTTCCTGTTGTAATTGATATTAATTCTACTTATATGTAGTTATAGATACAAATGTTATACTGTCGTGGTTATATTTAGTAGGAACACGCTGGCCACGCGTGCATAGTTAATGCAATTGGACCTTGTCATCTGACCGCAACCTTCTGTACTTGCAACTAACATGTGTTCAATTTACTATTGTTGAAATTATGTTGACATTTGAATTAACTACAAAGATATATTGGTCCATTATAAATGATGCCATTATGATACCAAATGATACTGTTATAAACTTGTACTTAAATTTTACTAGTGGACGCCTCAATTTTAAAGATCTGTAGATCGAAGAGAAGCTCTACTATAGTTCGACTGAAATACAAATAGGTCCAAATAGGTCTAAACTTGTTTAACCCAAAATTTCTTTTAAATTGTACATTTAAATTATATGCAACAATATTCTAAATATAACTGTATATCTCGAATACTAAGATAACAGAGGCGTTAGTTTTAATATACTATAAAAATGAATGGAGATGTTTTGCAAATTATTTCCTTCACAATGAACAGCGGCCAGTAATTGTTTTTATCTACTAATGTTCTACCGTCTACGGTCATAAAATCTGTATGACAAATTAAAGGACCCTTTATCTTGTTGATATGATTTATCATTTAGAAGATTGTACCCAAGATCTGTAGGGTTAAATTATTAATCTTAAATAATCATAACGATTCTAATTTGTCCTTACTGTATTTGAGTAAGTATTTCCAAGTAGTGAAGAAGGAGCAAACATATATCAAACAATTTTATTGTTATTATATATGATCTGTAAGATAATATTTCGCTATATAAAAGTTAAAAGCTATGGAAAGGCACAAATAAACTTCAATAATGCCATAAAATACAGGCTTCTCTAAATTTTATTGTTATAAAATAAAACACATCTCTAATATTAAATAATTCTGCCATTATTTTTCTTTTAAATAATAATTACTTAATTATTTTTTCATCACACAAACCTTCCGCATCTTTGTTTTTAAATATACGTATGACAGTAGATTTTCCATAATATCAAGATAAACAGAATTATCATGAAAAAACATTAACTGTTTAAAAACGACTATTTGTTTTTATTATATCATAAATCAATGTTAATATGTGTGTGTTTGTTTGTAAGTCATTAAAAGATATCACAAGATTTGCATATCTTTTGCAAGATCGTAATCAGCTTTTATTTTACCATAAATATCAGAAAAGTTTTGTAGAATTCAAATAGACACAAATCATTGCTGTAAAAATATATATTTTAATTTCGATTCCAATCTTCAATATTAAACTCCAATTTAACAGTGAAATGTTTACTGAAGATAATTTCGGTTCTTTAAAATAAAATTTAAACGAAATATTGAATATTAAAAAAATCTGTTAAAAATTACAGAATGTACGA